TTTCTGCAAAAGGAGGATCTACTAAATATTGATGTAATTTTTCTGTTGGGGTGCCCAAATTTATGCACCTGCCTACTTTTGTTTAAGTAATTATTGCACACTTTCTGTAAATCCTATAAACTTCATTTCACTTCTTAAATATCACTGTGTTTGTTTGCTATATGATATATTTAATTAAAACTGCTGTTCTGAACAACCAATGATCCATAAAGGAAAATCTTGAAAATGATCAGGGGTGCCCAAACGTTTTCATACCACTGTCTGGTCTCACCACTGTCCTGTAAACCTTTCCCTTCACCTTAGCTGACACTCTTCTATCACAGATCACTTCTGACACTTTTCTCCAGCTGTCCTATCCTGCCTGTACTCTATTCTTCACCTCTCTTTCACAGTCTCCACTGCTCCGAACAGTTGATTCTAAGTACCTAAACTCCTGCACCTTACCACCTCTGCTCCTTGTAGCCTCACCATTTCACTGTTCTCCCTTTCGTTTGCACACATGTACTCTGTCTTGCTAAGGACTGACCTTCATCCCTCTTCTTTCTAGTGCAAACCTTCACCTCTCTAGGTTCTCTTTTACCTGCTGCCTACTCTCACTACAGATCACAATGTCATCTGCAAACAACATAGTCCATGGGGACTCCTGTCTGACCTCATCTGTCCATCACCACAGCAAACAAGAAGGGGCTCAGGGCCGATATTGTTATTATTTTACTTAGTAAGTAAAACTTAGTAAGTAAAATAATAATAATATTTCAAACTATTACTATTACGGTTACTTTCTGTTATAATTACCGATAACAGATTTGGTTATCAACGTTAGGTGTAAAAGGAGCGTCCACTAATGCAGTGTGTGCTAGCCAGACTCCAATTTTATTTAACATTAAACAATTACATTTATTGCTTCGTTCAAACGAGTAGCTAACAAAAGTCACGACTAAAATCTACAACATAACGTATAATATCACTATATGTAATGTGTAATGTTTGCTTGACATTAAAATTATCTTTAAACGTCTGTTGTAAACCAATTAGTTCACGTGCTCTGTAAACGTTAAATTCCGTAAAAGGAATGAACTCTTCAGAAAATAGACGGAACGGACCCGCGTTGACATGACTTACGGATTGTTGTTACTCATCGTCAGCAGCAAACTGCTCAGTACCCGAACATTAGAGTGGAGGCCTGCAGCAGCCATGTCCCGTACGTGGTCGATTACATTCATTTTTGAGGTCACGTTAACGTCCGATCGTTTCAAGGTAAACGTTTGAGCTTGCAAACAGCTAAATGCTACTTAGCATCTGGTGTATTAAATATGGCGCCCACCAGCCTTTCGAGCTTTTTCCGCATCGTGCTGCCTTTGGGTACATTTGAAAATGTATTATTCTAAAACCTAGATGTTTGTAGAATACCACACTGCGGTGCATATAGCATATTTTATATATTTTCTCAGATATTTGATTTTAATTAGAGTTCATTTTTAAAGACACAATTCATTTTATTTCTAATAGGAAGATATGTTACATTGGACTGCTGATTTCTTCATGTTCCGATATATGTGAACGTATCTTGATTTTGTAGCAATTTTTGAAATTAAAGGGTCCATAGTCGAACTATCGGGTAAACTGCATGTCCATATATCTATTTCAATTATACATTTTAAGAAAGCAGTAACCTAGTGATGGGAAGACCGACTCTTTTTATTGATTCGAATCTTTGACTCTCGAACAGTAAAATGAACGAGTCGTGAACGAATCTTGAACTCATCATTTCATTCGTTTTACAGCAGGTGGCGCTTTAGCCCTATTGTGGGCGTTATAAAGAAGGCTGAGGTTCTCCGACACTAAATACTGAAGGCAACATGGTTTGCTTCC